CGTTGAAAACCTGTCAAGTTACGAAATCACTACACACCTCCCAGTTTTATTAAGCCCCCCTTTGTACAGTGGGCTGAATCAAAGTTCCGCCCGTACTAAAAATACACACATTATAAACAGGACAATCCAACCAATCAGAAACATGAATAATTCTTAGAAGACACCACCCTCACTATAACTCTTCTGAGCAGGAATAATATCAATGATTTCACCGTAATTCTGCCGGGGTGGTCCACCTAGAGAGCTGATACCCCCTTGACATCTCCACATTCGACCCCAGGAACCACCAATTAGCTTTGTAACCACTGCTAAACTTAGTAAATCTCAAATTTTCAATATAACATCTCAGTGATCACACACACCTCAAATACACGCATCTTCTAATAATCAACACGCATCTTCTAATAATCAACAATAAAAACTATCTGCATTCAATTCAAAATGAACTATTCATATTCTATAATAGACCGCATAAACTATTCTTGTTTGAGATTCAACGTTTAATTATCTCTGACTTGCTAGGTCCCCTTCTTCCTTTCTCCGCAGTATCTAAAAATGGAATTCCCCAGGAAAGCGTTGCAGACTATACTTGGTACTCTTCCCCGATTAAACACTAACGATAATCTTTCAACCACTGCCAACAACTATTAACAACTCTTACATTGTTGTTAACTTCTGCTACCACCAATGATTCTTCCTTCACAGCCAACGACGGTGACATCGACAAACCCACCGATGATGATTCTTCATGTACAGTCAACGCCGATGAGATCGTTAAACCCACAACCACCGATGATTTGGACACCAGGCGCTAATTCTTTCTACTACATCGAGTCTCTTTCGACACAGCCAACAACTCTGACATTGCTACCACTAACGATTCTTCCTTCACAGCCAACGACGGTGACATCAATAAACCCATTGATGATTCGGACACCAGACGCTATCAACCTTTACATATCTTTTAAAATGTTTTATCAAAAAACCATCATCTCCTCACTGGGCAAAACTACGCCCATAATCTTATTCCCTATTTTAGACCTAGACAAGACAGGTTCGAAACAAGAAATGTTCGGTCTAATAGAACACCGCCTGACAAATAGATACCATCCTTTGCATACAATCTAAAGTACCGTCTGACGACAATATTATCGGACTGAATGCCATTTGACTGGAACCATCTAACAATTGGATATCATTTGACTGACTACCAACTAACCGTTTGACTCGGCATAAAGATTCGTCCCTATTTAATGAAACAGCGTCACCCCAGGACGGGGCTATTATTTTCAATTATAAAATAGAAACAATCTAAGTCCCTACCTATTTGATTAATCTAATACAATCAGTTGTTTAAAAAGACTATTCCGAGTGTAGTAGGACAGGGTTCGGACACTGGATGCAGCGGCAGCCAATGTCATGAAACAAACAAACAAGACACAATTTGACACCCTCTATTATAAACCAAACAACAATGGACTCTGGAAATGTGACGTGTGCCCTTAATGTCTCAAATGATTGATTTGCCCGAAATGCTAAACAGAAATCATGAAACCTATACGCCAAAGTCTATTTCTCAAAATACGGAATGAATTAACCCACTGTGGTGAATCGATTCATCGATCCTGTACAGCCCATTAGCCCACTATTAAAAACGAAATCACCGAATTCTTCCTCACGAATCAAGTGAAAAGGCCACAATGCCTATATCCCAGTGTCCGACAGTAGAACGCAATTTCTAAACTACTAGAACACCATTAAAATCGAAATCACCGAATTCGTCCTCACGAATCAAGTGAAAAAGGCCACAATGCCTATTTCTCCAGTGTCTGGCAGTAGAACGCAATGTCTAAACTACTAGAACACCATTAAAAACGAAATCACCGAATTCTTCTTCACGAATCCAGTGACCAAATCCCAATACTATTTAGTACGTGGATCGATTCAGCGGTCCCCACAGCGAAGCGAGAAGTAGACAGAAATTATACTATATATTTTCCCCCAAATCAGAACCATTATCTAAGAGTAAGAAATGCGCTCAAACAATCTAGCCCAAATATAAAAGAAATGAAAATCAACACAATCTGGTTGATATGAGGCGATTATCGACTCTGGCAACCGGTCTGTGTCTTATATATACTATTCAAAAAAAGTAGGGGATATTTGATTTAAGTGTTATTAAAGTCACCTAATGAAACTGACGAAGAAACAAATGACAAAATGAAATGAAGTTCACATTCATCGATTTATTCCAAATGATCGTTAGACTAAGTAAGGCACAGACTGACCATTATACGGGTAAAATGATACCCGGGGTCAAACAGCAAAGTTACCACAGCATCACAACCAAGTCAGTAACGGGTAAATCCTCCTCTGTTTGCCAAACAAGCATTGATCCGACGTGGCATACTCCTAATGAGACGTCTAAGGTCATTTTGGTCCAGATTGTCCCATTCCTGTTGCAACGCAGCAGCAAGTTCTTGGACATTGGCAGGACGTTGTTGACGTTGACGTAACCTCTGTCCAAGCATGTCCCAGACATGCTCGATGGGGGAGAGGTCGGGACTCAGTGCTGGCCAAGGTAATGTGGTGATGTTCTGTTGGAGGTAACCTGTAACGATCCTGGCCCTGTGACATCTTGCGTTGTCATCCTGGAAGATGAAACGGCGGCCATGACGTCGTGCGAACGGCACAACATGGACTGCCAAGATGTTGTCCCGGTAGTACTGGCCTGTAACACGCCCTGCAACAACATCGTCCGCGCCACAACCGCCTGTGTTGTGCCGATCTGTAGCATGCCAAGGGCACGTAACCTTTCATTTTGGGTAAGCCGACGCATATCAAAATTTGTTTTCTGGTCACTAAAACAATTAAACTGATGTTTCCACCCTGGAATTCAATGCCACAATGACTGTAACATTCAAAGTCAGGGTCTTGCAAATCTTGGGTTGGACCCCCATGATGATCCCAAGCATCACCTGCATTCCATGCGGTAGCTATTGGTGCGTTTGGGCGTCACATGTAACTGGAAATGTTTCTTCTGTTAGGTTCTATAGTGACTTTTTTCGTAGTCATTTGCATATTTTAGTATTATGCCCCCAAAATCAAATATCCCCTACTTTTTTTGAATAGTATATGATCAGGTTACCTTACCTCGGGAGTTACTAACTGAAACTCCCGATGAATGATACGCGCCCAGTTTTATAGTCGAAGCATGCACGTGCGCGATAGTTGATTGGCTCGCCAACGCCAAGCAAGTAGACAAATCGATGAGTTTGGGCTACTAGTTTGAAATTCTTTATGCACATCGGGCGACACCACCACACGAGCAAAACTCTGACCTCAAATCTCCGCCCATTTAGAATGAGTCTCAAGATGAAATACCAGTAAATAAACAAAGTCTCATCGCACAGAGCCATACTTTCGATGACAACAAAATATAGCATAAGGCGCCCACCGAACAAACGACCAGAAAAAAAACCACATCTTGTCTCCTTTCAAAGTGAACCGTTATGATTGGTCAAATGAACCTAAACCCCACTGCAGAGTTCTCATAAAAAACACTGGAAACCATGGGAAGAAAAGGCTAACTTGGTGGCACTTTCTAGACTACAATTATCCTACGAGTGGGGGTTATATTTTTAAATAAAAACTGAGAACGATGGCAAAAGGGTAAAAATATAGTTCGACTTTGCCATACGACTGCCACCTATAACTAAGACTAGTGTTCTGACGGGAGTTGAACGACAATGTGCAAAACACTTTGGTTTAAACATCTTGTATTACCACAATGTAAATGGATCGGACAAAAGTTACATACACTTACAAAAACATCTTTTCCTTCATAAGTATATCCAATTATTCAAGATAACAAGGTGCAAAAATAAAGAGAATTAAGACGGTGCCAAGGAATAAATTCAAGAATGGCGAAGATAAGAAAACTATCTGAGAATTATTCCAGTGAGTGCAAAGATCTTGAAATTTTAACCCCATTTGCAACTATCTTACAGGCGAAAATTTCCAAAGGTTGCAAGAGCAGTTGGTGCGAGGTTATTTCAAGCTTAAATGCGTATTTTCAAATAGTAACTTAGGATAAGGACCACTCTTATGCCACTGACGAATGCTCATTGACACCTCACTAAAATATATGGTATTGGAAGTACACATTCAAAATGTTGACCCAAATCTGGTTTTAAACCAATTTTACTGTTTATTTCGAACACTATCTTTCTATACTTGACGTGAAAGTGTCGCTTTAAAACTTAAAAATATACAAAATTCCCAATAATAAAATTAGAACCATCCTTATATTAATTCCCAGCTACACCCTGTATTGTATTATTTGAAGAGTGGCTTACGTCAAGTAATACAAAAAAGGTACAACCAGGTCCTTACAGCCTCAAATAACCATATTACCTGCTCACGTGACACAAATACTTATGGAGCCCAAAATTTTAATCCCTAATCATAAATAACCTATCCTTCCCCCGCTTTTAAAATTTTAAGCTCGCAGCGCCAATGAAGTGATTTGCCAAATCAAGGAAGGTTATATAAGGGCTATTTAGATCTACCATTCGACAACTCCATCAGAACACTATAAAATACTAGTATATAAAATCACCCGGTCTGCTAAATAAGCGACCGTGATATCCATAAAATCCACTGGTCTGCCAGACAGGCGACCATTTCTAATCTGCAGTAAAACACACCCCACTTCAGCTAATCAACCCTCTTATATAGGCCAACAGCACGTGCACTCCAAGATTATACAAGAGTTTGGGCGATCCATATAGGTAGTCGAGTTTAGGCAACCCATCAATGTGGTTGAGTTTGGGAGAGCCAAACCTACTCTGAACGTTGAAAACCTGTCAAGTTACGAAATCACTACATTACTATTACCTGTAAGAGGCAATATATCGCTATTGGTTATTAGAAGCTGTATCTAAGCTATATCCTTTTGTATATATATATTTGCTAATTTAGTTTTATTATTATTTCAGTGCTCTTGTCTTCTTGCTCTATTGTAAATAATTTCCTGTTTTGTTCCTGTGTGTATTGTAAATAAACTGTATAGCTGTGTTCCTGTTTTGTCTCTTTTGGCTCAACCCCCGACCTGGAGTCGATCATGCGAAACTCCTGCTACAAAATGGCACCCAACGTGGTATAGATACGGTTGATTCCTGGTGTGTTTTGTGATCTGTGTTTTGCGAACAATTACTTGATTTGTGTTTTTGTGTTGGAATTCTTGGATTTTTCTGGATTTCTGCGAAAAAGCTCTGTAAGTTGTTTTTCTTATACTTGGCCAAGTAAACATGTTGTTTCTATGAATATATTATTATAATTGTATTAATTGTAATATTGCGTAGTTTATTGTTGTGAGTGTGAATGTGTATGTATATCTGGGGACGCCTAGATTGTCTGTCTTAGTCTTATACTTATAGTGTATAATATTTGTTCATATTATTAAGTACATAGTATATAAATTACAAAGTTAGTAAAATACACATATCGTAATTTAGACAGCTAGATTATTATAAATAATCTAGGTGACTAATGCATTAAATTCTTTACTTCATAAATAAATACCGGTTATTTTACATATTTACTTATTCTACTTGTATATAGGTACATATTTTATTAATAATTGTTCTTAGTACATCTTACATTATACATTTATGTAGTAATAAAATTCATTTGTCATATTAGTACAATCATTAAATGGTTATTTGGTAAATGAGTTCAGAGATGTTTTCAGCATGTCCGACACAGATTTTGGCAGAACAGATTAAACAACGCATAAAATGAAATGAAATGAAATGGGGTTTAACGTCCTACTGTTCTGCTCCTATACTGGGCTAATGAAGACGGGCATACGCCATACAGTGTGCTATGAGGGAAATTTTGCCCGGGCAGCGGCACTATCGCCTACTCTTATATCGAATTTCAACTGCCAGGGGATCTTTTACGTGCATTCCAATATATACACGGGACCTCGGGTTTTCGTCTCATCCGAAGGACTAGACAACTGTCCTTGTCAGGCCCTCCGTTCTGCACCACTGACAAGGGGAAACCACGTCGGAAAATCTGGATGAACTTTCTCGGCCAATGCAGGGATCGAACACCCGACCTCCAGACTAGCGAGCCAGTGTCTTAACCACCTAGCCACAAACAACGCATAAAATTAAGCTGACAGATGAAACCCCTTTTAAACAACGACACCGTAGGATTTCGCCATCAATGTTCCAAGAGGTAAAAGAACATATCCAGGACATGATAAAGGCCAATGTTATTCGTCCATCTAACAGTCCATTTGCTTCTCCTGTTGTACTTGTACGCATGAAAGATGGTTCTCTACGTTTCTGTGTAGATTATAGGGAACTTAATTCAAAAACTGTTTGTGATTCGTATGCCCTTCCTCGCATAGACGAAATTTTGGATACGTTAAATGGCTCAAAATATTTTTCATCTTTAGACTTAAAAAGTGGATATTGGCAGATTGAAATGGCAGAAGAAGATAAATGTAAAACCGCTTTCATTACAGGTAGCCTTGGCTTTGGGAGTTCAATTCTATGCCATTCGGATTAACCAACGCACCCAGTTCTTTCCAGCGTTGTTTAGAGCGTTGTATGGCAGATATTCATTTATTTCATTGTTTAATTTATATAGACGATATCATTGTATTTTCCAAAACATTTGATGAACACATTTTTCGTCTTCGTTCAGTATTCTCCAGGCTAAGGAAGCACAATCTTAAGTTAAAACCTTCAAAATGTGAATTTCTGCAGTCATCATTGAAATATTTAGGGCATATAATTTCTGAAGATGGTATTAAAGCTGACCCTGATAAAATTTCTACTCTTACAAGCTGGCCTATTCCTACATCTGTTTCAAAAGTACGCAGTTTTCTTGGATTTTGTGGATATTTCAGACGCTTCATCAAGGATTATGCTAAGATTGCTCGACCTTTAACTTATCTTCTTACTGGCGATTCACCTAGAAAACACAGAAAATCTGCTGGTAATTTATTTCATTGGGGTGCAGATGAACAACAGGCTTTTGATAATCTTATTTCTCATTTAACTTCTTGTCCTATCTTAGCTTTCGCTGATTTTATTCAACCTTTCATATTAGAAACAGATGCTAGTTCTCATGGTTTAGGTGCTATTTTATATCAAATTCAGGAAGGAAAACAAAGAGTAATTGCATATGCCAGCCGGAGTATTACAAAAAAGTGAAAAGAATTATCCAGCACATAAACTTGAATTCCTAGCTTTGAAATGGGCAGTCACACAAAAATTTCAAGATTATCTTTATGGCAACAAATTCACTCTTAAAACAGACAATAATCCACTTACATATGTGCTTTCTTCCGCAAAACTTGATGCTACAGGTCATAGATGGTTGGCTGATCTTTCTGCATTTGTTTTTTCTTTAGAATACTTACCTGGATCTCGTAATGTTGCTGCAGACGCTTTATCAAGACTTCCCGTTTCATGTGTAGATAATTCTGTTGTAGCTGCTATAACTAATTTCACCGAAGTTGAGCATAGTAAAGTTGAAACTTTTTCTTTTAATCAGAATGTAATTGATTGTTTTATGTCTCCTATCATTGGAATTCCTACGGAATATACTAAATTAATTATAATCCTTGAGTGGCATTTAGCGATTGAACACATTAAAAACACAACACAGTTTATATGGAAATACAATCACTGGTTTATAAGTATAGCACGACGTTTCGACAAGTATTCTCTTATCGTTATCAAGCACAAATGATATTTAGTTAAACTAAAAGGTGATATTTATAGTAAAACAAAAAAGAAGCCATAGATAAATGCTGTTATAATACAAGATAATAGTTGAATTGATCAAAGGATAATTAAAACTTAAATATAGTTAATTGGTGGGGGTTAACAGTGACCAGGGAGCAACAAAGCCATATATTTGATATAGACAAAATAAACACAATTTGAAACCCTATTAATAAGAAATTTATAATAATGTATAAATTGATCAAAGGATAATTAAAACTTAAATATTAGTTAATTGATAGGGGTTAACAATAATCAGTGGTTAACAATAGTCAGGGAGCAACAAAGCCATAAATTTGATATAGACAAAATAAACAATTTGAAGCCCTATAAGTAAGAAATGTATAATAATGGATGTATACAGTATAACCCCTTAATTTGGTAATTACAAAATATGGTTTATATAACAGGTATTATACTTCTCTAAGCTAATTAATTGACAATTCTAAGATTTTAAAAGCTCAGCAAGACTGTTTGGGAATACGGAATATCATTCATTTTGTGAAAACTGGTTGTAAGCCGTCTGATACATTTTGTTTTATATTGATAAAGACTCACGAGTTATATTACGTCATTGGGATAATTTAATTGTAAAAGATGATATTTTATATAGGAAATACTTACCTTCACCTTTATCTGATACTGTGTTTCAAATTGTCTTGCCTGTTTCTCTTCGGCAACTTGTATTATCATTTCTTCATGACGAGATGGGTCACATGGGTCGTGATCGCACATTGGACTTGGTCAAATCACGCTTCTTCTGGCCTTCAATGTCGAAGTATGTAGAAGAGTATGTCAGATCCTGCGACAGATTTTTTGAGTTTAGAGCCTTCTAAGGGTGGTATTGAAAACATTTTAATTATTACTGACCACTTCACAAAATTTTCTGTAGCTGTTCCAACTAAAAACCAGACTGCTAAAACCACCGCCAGAGCATTAATTCATAATTTTTTTCTACCATATGGAATTCCTGAAAAACTCCATTCTGATCAAGGTCGAAATTTTGAGTCCAATATTATCAAAGAAGTCTGCAGTATTTTAGGTATACACAAATCACGTACTACTCCATATCATCCAATGGGAAACGGTTTATGTGAACGCTTCAACAGAGCACTTTTAAATATGCTAGGTACCCTTACTGAAGAACGGAAAGGTAGATGGAAAGATCACCTTCCTTATTTAGTTTTTATTTATAATTCCACTAGACATGAATCAACTCCCTTTTCACCTTTTTATTTGATATTTGGTAGAAATCCTAAGTTACCTGTTGATATAATTTTTGGAGATAATTCTGCTACGGATGTACGTAGTTCCTATACACAGTTTGCTTCTGAACTTCAAGATAAATTTAAAGCCGTGAACAGTATTGCTACAGAAAATATACAGAAAGCGCAGCAGAAGCAGAAACTTTATTACGATGTGAAAACTCGAGGTGCTAATCTACATGTTGGTGATGTTGTGTTAGTTCGTAATGTACAGATCAGAGGTAAAAATAAACTTGCAGATAAATGGGAGAATGATTGTTATACAGTTATTTCACAACCAGATGTTGAAATTCCAGTTTTTGTAGTTCAGAAGGCTGACACTTCATTAAGACGTACTCTACACAGAAATCTTCTACTTCCGATAAGTTCTTCTGGTCGACCTATTCCTGCCCCACGATTAAATGTTCCACTTCCACGTGTTCGTTCTTCACCTGATGTTAGTATTCCTGATTTTCCCATTTCTAAACCTCACACGAATGATAATGATAATAATGCAAATGTTAATATTTCATCCGATTCTTCTGTTTGTATTACCAACGTGTTACCTGATATTTCTGTTCCGGATATTACTATTCCTCATATTACTGTTCCAGATATTCCTGATATGACCGTTCCTAATATTACTGTTACTGATAATTCTGATGATTCAATTTCTCCACCTGATCCTGATATTTCCTCTGATGATATTTCACAACCAGCTCTAGCTCCTAAACGACAACGTAAACCACCTTCTTGGATGAAATCTGATGCTTGGGTTTTAGAGAATACTGTTTGGCTTTGATTTATATTAGTTGTATCTACTGATATTTTTATAACGATTTTTTTTTCATTTCTGCATTATTAGTTATTTTATAAATTCCATTATCAGTTGCTGACAGTTTTACTTGATGACGACTTGGTTTTGTTTATGGATTATGATTTTGGTTATGAGGATTGGTTCATTATTTTTGTATTATATATGTATACTGTTGTTTTTATTATGGTGTTTAGGGTTGTTCGTGTCGGGACGCCACTTCATGTGCTGGGGGGATAGTGTAGTAGTGTATATTTGGTTGTCAGTTGTTATATATTTAGTATTAAGAAGTAGCCTCTTTCATCATGTGTGTGGTTTTAGTTTATTTAGTCAGTTAACTCAGTTCTTTAATAGTCTTGTTCAACTAGACACTTCATATAGCTGGTAGTCTTGCTTTTCTATGCCATCT